GTAAACATTCATAAACATTTGCAAATGATGAATAGTTTCCACTTTAGATTGGGTACTGCAAAAACATGAACAAATAATTAATAGATTATTTGTTAAGATGTGAAAAAAACAAAAAACAAAAAAAACAAAAACAAATGATCATATTAGCTGAATGTTTACTGACATTTGTAAGCATTTCAATTTACATTAAATAATCATATGTTAATCATTAACGTTTAGTAAGTTCATTAGTATACATTAACAAGACCATTATCTCATATTTCTAGCTATGTGAATATTGATATTAACTAATGATCTGTTAAGCGTTATATAATGTTTGTTAATGATTTATAAATTAAAGTTATTATAAAGTGTTACCTTGTTTTCTAATTTTAAACAAATCTCACTTAATGTTGATACATTTCTTAGAAAACAGCATTTATGTGCTTTTGGATCTCAAGGAAATATATAATAATTTAGGAACATTTAGATAATTGTACTGAGAAACAAGACAAAAATAAATAAATAAATACATTAGAAAGTTACTTTTTTTGCAGTGAAATTGAGTACATTGCATTCTGGTATACGATAATGTATGCATTGTGCTGCGCTGTATACTGCACTTTTTGGCAAAAAAACAATTGCTCATCCAGGTTTTCCACGCATTTAGATCATTTGCATACTTTGTCACAGTTACTGCAAAAATAGTATGAGTAGTATGTTAGTTTACTATTTAGAACACAGCCAGTGTGTCTCCAGGAAAATTTATCTCATTCTGCCTCTTTTTCTCTCTGTCACCCACTTTCCCTTGTTCACTCTATCTGTCTAATGCACGGCTGGGTTTGTTATTTTGACCCTGCTCAGAGGGAGTCTGAATAATCACTGCGTGTATACAGTATGTCCACATATCTGTGTGAGAGTCGGATTAGATCTCACCCTCAGGGTAAGAGATGATGGCTGTCACCCGGAGTAAAATCAGCATATTAATAAAATAACCTGCCCCATTAGCCATAGTGCTCAGCTCAGCTCGGATTCTGCAGTAAAAATGGTTCAGGCAGGGCTGGGTCAAGCCGAGACTGTTCTGGGATGCAGATTTGGCTCTATATTCTGCCGGTGTGTCTTGAGCGCTCTGACAGAGGGGTGAGATGCCGGACGACCCCTCACAGGATGCGGAATTGAACAGAGATACACTCACCGCAAGAGCTGTCTGAACCGACACACACCTGGAGAGAGCGGACAGCTCTATACAAACACACACACACACACACACACACACACACATAGCTTTATATACACATACGAACACATTCACAGAGCTTTATACAAACACTTACTCTGTATACACACAAACAGATATACACAAATACACACCGATATAGACTAATTCACACTAATGCTATATTCAAACTAATATTGTAGTAGACAAATATGAAAACTTATAGACAGTAGATATAAGCTGCTTTTCTGTCCATGTATTTTTATGCAAATTTTGGTTTTAGGCTTTTGGATGAAAAAAAATCTGTAGGTAAACACCATGAATAAAAGTTTGCACAATGTGCTTAAAATAATCTATGTTCTTGCTTAAGGAAAATAAATTAGTTTGCTAAGAAGACACGCAGAAACTACGATAGAAACACATTTACTGTATAAATTAGTTAGTAGATGCACATCAGAAAAGCCATGTGAATAATTTGCTGCTTTGCTATGATCGCTAGCATACATGAACGTTTATGATCTGGATGCTCTAAACTGAAAATAATTGATTGCATTGCTATAATTAATTGCACCGCTTTCCCTGGAGGTGACAATGTTGATGTTTTTCAACATATGGGATGTAAATGTAAATTGTTGTAAATATAAATGTAAAAATGTCAATTATATTTTATTTTATTTATATAAAATATGAATATTTTTATTTATATAAATACAAAATAATGTACACAAATTAATTGATATACACTATTGTTTAAAATTTGGGGTCTGTAATATTTTTTAAGATATCTGAACAAAACATTAAGTCTATAATGTCTCTTATGCGCACCAACGCTCCAATTATTTGATTAAAAATACAGTAAAACAATTCAATTGTGAAAATATTATTAGAATTTTCAATAACTGTTTTCTAATTAAATATAATTTAAAATGTAATTTATTCCTGATGGCTAGGCTGAATTTTCAGCAGTATTACTCCAGTTTTCAATGTCACATGATCCTTCAGAAATCATTATGATATGCTGATTTGCTGCTCAAGAAACATTTCTTATTATTAACAATGTGGAAATTTTAAAGTCTTTAATGTCACTTTTGACAATTTTATTCATTCTTGCTGGATAAAAGTATTAATTTGTTTAAAATGCATTAATAAATAATTAAAAAAAAAATTTCTGACCAAAATTTTTAGCTGTAATTAGAGTTGGAGTACTCTGACTCGAGTCCTGTTTCGAGTACAATTTTTTAAAGGACTCGGACTTGTCACGGACTCGGATGCATTTTTGCTCGGACTTGACTCGGACTCGAACCTTTCGGACTCGGAAAATATGTCAGAGTCCAACCGAGTCCAGGGACAGTTGACGGAAATGTTACTGACTCAATGCATTATCACAAAAGTGATATTCAGTATTTGCATGTGTTTTTTGCATGTATATTTGATCTATGCGTCAGATCTTAAAGCAACAGCGTAAACCTGCAGCCGTCGACTGCGTCATCAATGTTAATCAAACAAAAGAATGGGAGAAAATCACTCACTGCTCTTGACTGAATCACTTATTCACTTATTCATAATCTATATTTAATGTATACAGTGAAGATAATTTTTTACATTTATTACTTCAGGAAATGTCTGTAGTAGGCTATTTCTGTAAAAGCCTTTACTACTGAAAAACGTAAAAAAACTAAAAAACTTTCATTTGTATTTTTGTGTAATTTATTTATTTATCATTTAGCTTGTAAATAATACTTGGAGTGTTTACTTGCCTTCAGTAAGCTTGAGAATGTTATTACATTAGTTTATTATTGTTTTGCTTTTGTATTAGTGGCAGTTTCTAACTTCAAAGAAAAATAATTTTTTCTAAGATCTTTGCGGCAAGAACTTTTATGGGTCCAAAATCACCTTGGGTGTGCATTATTTTCTAGTAATTCAACGGCCCGTCATCAATTATTCCTTACATAATGTAATTTATTGTAATGAATGTAACTATAAATGCATTCAAAAATAAAACAGGTGTGAGTTGGCTGTGACTTATGGAAAGTATATGTAGGGCTTGTATTTCACAGTGTGACCTTGACCAGGTTTATCCCTCACAGCCTCATTTTCATCCTAGAAAAAATTCAAAGTGCCCTGTCTAAGGGGTCCGTGTACTTTGGCGTCCATTTTTCATTTTTTTAAATTTTTTATTTTAACCCAGAAATTAAAATGCAGTTTCTTCTTTAATGGTTCAAACACTGATGAATAGAATAAGCAGACACAAACTAATTTTGATTATTCAAAATTCATATTTCATTAAAAATCGTAAAAATGATATAAAGCTTGTTTTTTATTGAGATATAAAAGGTGTATTTTCTGCTCTTAAGGTCCCATTCACCAAGATACCTAGCCTACTCCTTTACCCCCACCCTTAAATTTATACATTTATTTTAACGATTAATAAAGTCAAGTCCTGCCCTTTAATTTTTCACATTCTAAAACCTGTTTCACTCTGAAATATGTCACAATACATACATCAATTCAGCCATAACTTCTGTTACATGACTTTAAGTTTGCTAAGCAAAGCAGGACACTAATTATTCATCAAAAATCAAAATGGCAAGATGTAATAGAGGTTTGCTTTTGCTACATTTAAATGGACATTGCGTTTTTGTAGTTGTAAAGGTTAAAACAATGTTAAGATACTAATAAATAATAGAGTTTCGTTGGACTCGGACTCGACTCGGACTCGGCTGTTTGGGACTCAGACTTGAGTCCAACTCGGCCCATTTTGGACTCGGACTTGTCTCGGACTCGATTGGTTAAAGACTCGGACTCGACTTGGACTTGACTTAGGTGGACTCGAACCCGACACTAGCTGTAATATATCTGCACAACTTTGCTATGTAGCTATAGACTATAACGCTATAAATCTA